ATTAGTCCTCAGTGTCTACAACATACTCAAACTGCAAATTTGCCTCCTACCATCGCATAAGACAAACATATGGGGCAAATACCTTGCCAGAAATGCAGACAAATATAAGAAGATAACTTGATATTGCTCTTGCAAGAGCATGACATCACCTGTGCGTGTATGTTCTGTGCCAAATATTGTCACAGCTTTTCACTTGATGAGAAATATGTCCAGTATTATTATTATTATTATTATGATCTTCATGCGGTATTCTGTTTCGACCAGAGGCAATACTAACGCGGAGCCTAAATGTGTTACCGGTACCGTGCACTTTGGACCGATTACATATTGTGCACTCGATACCTTACGGACTGCTCGGACAAGCGCTGGAAATTTGGCACAGACACCGGCTACCGGCCGGGTCAGAATACGAACCAAAGATCTGTTAAACGGGGTGCTGAGGGAGAACGTTCAGACCCCTCATCCCAGGTTGATCAGCCACAGCCAGGTGTACTGTTGTTGATCTATAGCACTGACACTCTCATCCCTATCTGCTTTCCGTTAACACCAAATGTGTCAACCTACTCGGAGCACACCTGTCCCCCATAGACGCATACATCTAGCCCTTTGCTTACATCCAGCGAGTTCCATGACTAATGAGAGTGCACTGATAGTGCGTGCATATAACCCACCAGGGCGAGAATAAATTGATTTCCGTGTGACCTTAAATGAGCAACACGTTATATTGATACGCTAACTAGCTAACTTATTAGCACTTCGCCTAAAATTACCAGTAAAAGGCATGGTCTTAGGATCTCAATGGATATTTCTCTATGGTTAGTTAGGAGATGCCGCACCTATCGTTAAAGCAGGCGTAACTCTTCAAGATCTCAAACGGCTGTAAGTACAATGTGTTGGCTGTCGAGTATACGGTGCATATTATTGCACTATCATTACAGGGATCGGGCATGGGTGTTGCTACATTGTGAACCAAGAAATATGCCGGACATGACGGCAAACGCATACTGTGAGTTACATTTCATGAAGCTGAATGATGGTACTCACAATTGATGACTAGTTTACTGTTATTTGATATTTCACCATGCGATGCATCACCTTACAATAATTTCTACGTTGTGGCGGGAATGCGTCTACCGATTGTCAGGGATGCACCATAAATTGCTGCAAATTGCGCGCTCTGACACAATCCCGAGGAATTCTAACAGCAGTCATGAGATCCAATCGGAGCTCAGACGCTGCACTACGCACTCAAGTGCGAGGTCTGTGTACCGCAACTTGCACAGCGCTTCACGCGATGAGGCGCAGACTAAGGATTCGTGAACGATCGATACATTCTGGTCAATGTTTAAGGACAGAACGTTTCGCGGATAAATGGATGCCTGTGGGATCTGTACTTACCCATGTTTAGCCGTAGCACGGAAGTTACCGTAACGTACAGGGTCTACTGTGGTAAAAATGGACATCCCGTTGGCGGACGAACGTACACGTAGTGCATAACTGCTGCTATTTCATCGGCGCTATGTTCCCATTAAACTATACAGACTGACGTACACGTGAGAAACAAGTTTTCGAATAATATCGACTTTGTAGTATTCTGCTTTCCGGTTGAGTGAGCCAAGTTCTCTCTGGAATTTCTCTTTCCCACAATGCTTAAAGAGTACCTGGTTGTTTCAGTTCAGTTTAGTGCAGTTGATAAATCATGATCCGGGCACCAAAGTGCTGTGGATGCAGTTGCCACGAATCGCGTCGCCAGTGTGGCAAAATGAAGAATGATAAGTAAATGCGGTTAGTCTTAAAAATGGTATTAGCAGGATGGAAAGAAGAACGAGGTGCATGAAGCTAATCGCATTGAAATATGAACACCCACACGTAAGAGAACGAATCCAGAGGTAGCACTGACTCCGACAATGCGTCAAGTCCGATAGAGTCTTTAACCATTTGTTTGGACTAGCACGAGGCCCCCATCAACGAAGACGGCACTGAAATGAGGCACCGGAGAGTTTCTTGCAAAATTACAATTGCCGGATCTCCGCATTTCTCACCCTGGGTTTCCACCAGATGCATACGATACGGCGTGAGACCCGGTGATCAAAGAGGGCCAACCGTTTGAGGTTTTCCGTACGAACTGGTCAAGTTTCAGATGTATACAGTAGCACCGGTCTTATCGCAGTTGTTCCCAGAAGTATAGCTTTGTCACACACTGAAACATACTACCAACGAATGCAATATGAATCTACATTTAAGAGGGTCTTGACACCAGGAGCTCTTCTACCTTCTGGTACCCCAACGCGCTATATCTTGCTGACGTCAGTAAACAAAAAACTTGAACCGATCATCTGTGCCAGGTCGTTGACAAATACCAAAAGGAATCGTGGCTTTAGAGCAGAGCCCTGAAGCATACCACATTCGACATGTATGGGGTCTGATAACATGTTTTGAACTCTAATCACCAGCTGCCGTTGTAGGAGGAAGTTGGCAATCCAGGTGAAAAGGGGGTCACAGATGCCATACTACTGCAGCGTGGAGAGAAGAATTCGTTGATCCAGGCGGTCGAATGCCTTCGAGAAATCACAGTGGACCACATGGACGTTCTCTCTTGCGTCAGCTGACTCGGTCCAGCTAATCCGGGATATCAGTAAATTTGTTGTGCACGATCGCTGTCCACGAGAGCCATGTTGTTCGAGAGCAATGATGTTGAAGTTTTCGGGATAGCACACCAATGCATCGGCAACGATGGACTCCATGACTTTGGAGAGCACAGGATGAAGTGATACCGCTGAAAGAACTGAGTAAACGATTCTGCCAGTTGTCGAGACGTCGCTCCCAGTGCTTCTGGGAGAGTAATATCGACACCATCGGAGCTGTCATTGAGCAGAGACGTTAGCTTTGCAGGACAGGTTCCACGATAAAAGCTGGATGTAATTGGGTTCCTGCGTTGGGGTACCAGAAGATAGAAGAGCTCCTGGTGTCAAGACCCTCTTAAATGTAGATTCATATTGCATTCGTTGGTAGTATGTTTCAGTGTGTGACAAAGCTATACTTCTGGGAACAACTGCGATAAGACCGGTGCTACTGTATACATCTGAAACTTGACCAGTTCGTACGGAAAACCTCAAACGGTTGGCCCTCTTTGATCACCGGGTCTCACGCCGTATCGTATGCATCTGGTGGAAACCCAGGGTGAGAAATGCGGAGATCCGGCAATTGTAATTGTGCAAGAAACTCTCCGGTGCCTCATTTCAGTGCCGTCTTCGTTGATGGGGGCCTCGTGCTAGTCCAAACAAATGGTTAAAGACTCTATCGGACGTGACGCATTGTCGGAGTCAGTGCTACCTCTGGATTCGTTCTCTTACGTGTGGGTGTTCATATTTCAATGCGATTAGCTTCATGCACCTCGTTCTTCTTTCCATCCTGCTAATACCATTTTTAAGACTAACCGCATTTACTTATCATTCTTCATTTTGCCACACTGGCGACGCTATTCGTGGCAACTGCATCCACAGCACTTTGGTGCCCGGATCATGATTTATCAACTGCACTAAACTGAACTGAAACAACCAGATACTCTTTAAGCATTGTGGGAAAGAGAAATTCCAGAGAGAACTTGGCTCACTCAACCGGAAAGCAGAATACTACAAAGTCGATATTATTCGAAAACTTGTTTCTCACGTGTACGTCAGTCTGTATAGTTTAATGGGAACATAGCGCCGATGAAATAGCAGCAGTTATGCACTACGTGTACGTTCGTCCGCCAACGGGATGTCCATTTTTACCACAATAGACCCTGTACGTAACGGTAACTTCAGTGCTACGGCTAAACATTGGTCAGTACAGAGCCCAGACATCCAGTTTTCCGCGAAACGTTCTGTCCTCAAACACTGACCAGAATGTATCGATCGTTCACGAATCCTTAGTCTGCGCCTCATCGCGTGAAGCGCTGTGCAAGTTGCGGTACACAGACGTCGCACTTGAGTGCGTAGTGCAGCGTCTGAGCTCCGATTGGATCTCATGACTGCTGTTAGAATTCCTCGGGATTGTGTCAGAGCGCGCAATTTGCAGCAATTTATGGTGCATCCCTGACAATCGGTAGACACATCCCGGCCGCGATGTACGTTGACAGATGTTGGATTGTAACCGAGGGTTATCCGAACGAACGGACTGACGTTCGTTTTTATTTATACTTTTATGCATTTGATTATATAACGTTTTCTTTTTTAACCATAGTCTGTGTCTAATTGTCTAATCCTTTAATTTTCTGCGCTTCTTTTACAGAGCCTTCATTACTACTGCCGTCTGAACGCGACCGGATTTATTTTACATCCTTTTGCGAGTCTTTTCACCTATTCGTAAGTCAACTCTGTATTTTCGATTTTAAATTGCTGCAGAACCACGGTTTACTCAATACAAATTATTGTTCCGCCCACTGCCCTCGTATTTTACCTACCAGAACTTGCGTACGTTTGGTTTTTGTGCTAGTCAGTCGGCAGTACCGGTCGCACCTGCACTTACCAAGTTTGGTTGATATTGGTGGGCCGCTTATTGGACTGCAATTGAATCTTCCAGCTGTTGTTTGACAGCAGACTACTTGGTACTGTTGCCACTGGATCTCTCATTGAACGTGAATTCCCGGTTAAACCAGTTTGCACACGCTTTCCTCCCATCTGCCTTAGTGTGCGCTGCGCTTGGTTGAATGGAGTTGCAATGTAGTCAGTCGCTGACATGGGGGAAATTCATAACTAAGAAAGCTGTAAGTCTGATCTGTCCTGATGCGTAACGTGTTCTCGGATACGCGCTTGACATCAGCAAGCTCTATAATTGATACGCCCATTCTAGCATGTCACTGTCGATACGTACTGAAGCTTCTTACTTTCAGTTATTACTATATTCTAGTAACACATGTCTCATTCTGCCATTTATGATCTGGAATTTTGCGACTGAACGTTCATTTGCTTTTGTTCATTTATTGATATCTTGGTGACATAAATCAGGGTTACTCTTGTCGCCGCAAATCCGTGCTCGGTTTATAATTGTTGTACAAAACATACATTACAAGGCATGCCGACTTTATTTATTTGGCACCTGAAATTTTGAATGTCTTAGAGTTTCCTGAGAAAAGTATAAATATCATCCATCATAATGTTTACAGTGTCGCATCATTAGATACTTGAGGTTTGACTGAAGCTCCAGCTGGTGCGATTCACTCACATCTGCTGCTCTGAACTCACCTAGTAATTCGATGTGGATGGGATTTCTTTCTCTGCATCTTGCCCAGATGAACCCTTTTCCATTGCACTCTTAGAAGCGAGTCTCGCTTTTTTCCGTTGCTCCCTTAACTTGAGTTCAATTTTACGGCGACCCACTTCTGCAGCTGCCAGTCGCATGCGAGCCAGTTCCCAGTTTGCTTGTGTGTCTCGTCTAGCTGTCTGATACGTGGCTGGCTCCGCTTCCTCTTCTATGCTTTCCAGTTCGCCAAGATCCATGGTCACTTGCGCCACACTAATGTCTTCTGCACATTCTTGTTGTACTGGACTTCTCTGCTTCGGTGACGGTGTTCTTGGTGTCCCGTTCGCTGTTGTCTGTTTACTTGCATATTCTTGTAGCATTGGGATTATGTCATCGCCTTTGTGCCATGATTCATCTAAATTGGTGGGTTTGTTTTGTAGTATTTCTCCAGATTCTCCTTGCCTCATCCACCGGAGCATGCTTTCATACCGGGTCACCTCGTCTTCGTAAATGCGAACGAAAGATATTGCGAGACAGACGCTGCTGTGGTACCGGAATAGCATCACCATTGGCAGTGTCACTATGAGGAACATGTGTGAGCCATGTAGCCCAGCTGCTTCGAGCCGCCTTGCACCTTCTAGGAACAGCACATCGTTGTGTTTCACCTGAAGGAGAATTGTAAAGGACATTAGGTGGCAAATGTGTTCATACTAGCTACCTTCAGTTAAACTTGACTCCATTATCATCAAATCTCCATACAAGAATTAGATTACCTCCCCTCCTGTTTCGAGCTCGACAATGCACGATGGAGAATTCTAGCCCGCATCTCATCTCCTGCGAGTTCAACGGTTTTGTCACAGTGGCAACCGAAGTGACCAAGTCAATAGTTGCTGTCTACATTATATTTCTTCCGTTGTCCAACCTAGCTCCTAGCGCTCCGAGATGATTGGCAACTTCGTGTAAGAATTTGTGTCTCCGGCGGTAGCAGTGCCCACTTGTAACGTGCCTGACATGGAGAACGTCATCCCAAATGTGGCAGTCTTGTAGCGCCTGTTGCTGTTGTCTTTCGCAACCCAACGGCAATGTGCGCTGTCTCACAAAGGAATCGTGACATTTGTGCTCCTCCACCTATTAATAGGCAAGTGTGCCACTGGTTGACCTCCGAAAATATAAATCTACTTCCCAACTCATTCTCTTAGCTATTTTTAGTGTTGTATTAAACCCCAATGGCATAATAGTCCGACTTTTCTCTAGTCCCTCACCTCAGATTACCTCTGCTCTTCGCAATACAATGTGTGAGGCTCCAGACTCACTTAAAGTTGCTTCTTTTGTGTTGTGCGACTCATATTCTGTTTGCACTACATAAGCTCTCGCTTGAAGTCTGTGGACATCTCCAATTCCATGCACCTAAACGACAAATCGCCATTAAATCAATTGATGCACTTACCTCATTGGCGCTTATACCGCTGTACACTTTACCTGTGCGCAGTCCATGTTTCTAATTGATCATGCTTCTACGTCTTATGTCTACGAGAGGACTTGTCTTAGCGCTCAAGTTTCCCAATGAAGTCGGTGCCTATCACCCAAGAGTAGCCCCGATCAGGATGATCATTGCTAGGCCTGTTATTTATTCGTGTATTTTTCACTACTTTAAGTAGTGTAACGCCACATACGTTTTACAATACTAGCTATGGTCACTCACCTGAAAACTGTAAATCATCCAAAGTGCAAAGTTCAAGGCAGCCAGAATTACTATCATTGCTCGCCCAGGTTTACTCCGTTGATACGATTCATGATGACAGCATCGGTAGAACATGTCATGAATGAAGTATGTCTGCACAACCACTTGAACCAGTTCCAACACAGCGCTCGCTAGCCGTGCGCCCATATAAATCATTTTCTCCTTTTCCAGTGATTCATTTATCAAATAAAAGATACACATTGTACTCTCCACGACCATGAAATTGACAGTCAAAAAGAAGGTAATCATCAACAGCTTCTCGTCCAAATTATTCTTCGCGAAGTTGACAGAGAATTTAAGCCTCTTCACGTGTATCATTCCAGCGATAGTCAACACCAAGGCGAATATGTGGATTATGCTTATCTCACTGAGGTGGACGATGGCTCGAAAATGATCAATCACTTTTCCAGCATTTTCCAAAAACAATATGACCATCAGAACGAAGACGAATAGAATAACGCTAAAGATTAAACTGGTATAAATTCGCCCACGACACCTTCGCGGTTTCTTCTTTGTATGCTAGAATAGGAAAAGGAAGGGTCTGCTTTATTTTCCGGCCACTTTCCCATAACAACCATTGTGTTAATCAATATGCAATTGAATAATATCCACTTGGTAGACTACGCACTCGTAATGCTGATGCTCGCCACGTCATGAAGTTGTACCACGGGACTATTCCGGCTCTCAGCGGCGTTGGATTCTGTGGGATTAACGGTTGCACCATCGGAATTCATAGCACTGCGCTTGGGTTCACTGTGCTCTGTAAGATCGGACTTGTTTGCTTATGCATCTTTCAACACGGTGACTTTGTGCACTAGTGTCTCATGAGTCGCGTGACAACGTAATCTAAGATGCATACTTGTTCCAACAATCTTTTGAGTTCGTGTTACAAATAAATTAGGGCTTGTTGCAGTGCAAATGTTCATTGTCAGTCAAATTACCGAGTGTCACTCAACTTAGTCTCCTGGTGCACTGGTTCTGGAAGTCCTGTAGTTTGCGCCAACCTTAATGACCATGCTTTCTTCTCTTACCGACTGTTACATCGCTTGACCTCTATACCACTATTTCACGTGACATACTACCCGTGTAAGATCATGGCCTCAGCTATCACACCGTACTCGGACACCACTGATGCATCTTCGCATCCACTCACCGCATGCTCTGGGCTTCCGTCAAGGCTATGCGCAGCCAAGACCAATATTTATGCGCCCATTGACATTCGAAAATTTGTTTCTCAACCGCGCATGGAAATGCTCGGTTGACAGAAGCACTTTGCATGATGGCCTATACCATATCGGTGACCAGTATCGTTGGAGTTTCCTCATACAGATCCGATTAGATTTGTTGTTTCACCTCCTATGTCATTGAGACTGATAGCACTGAAGCGGAAATCCAATGTATCCCCTGTAATTTGCTGCATGCACGGACCTCTGTTTATGAGGAGGGTAGAGTGGTCGAAAGCGATTGTTGATGCTGTAACGAGTACTTGTGTACTCGAAGCCCGGGAGCTTATTGTCAAGAAATAATACATTACGAAACGATCCACAATCTTTTCTTGTTTGTCCACGTCACCAAATATGCTGATGACTGAGAACGGTGCCCTCCCGATAACACACTTCAGTAGATAGAGGTAGAATGCCACCGTGGCTCTTATTTAGTGGCTTCTGGAGTAATTCCTTTCTCGAAGTTGAAAGCATCCTTTCTACTCAACGTGGTTCGGTTAACTTGCTGAAAAGTACACTAATACTCTAGAGTAAACACGTGACAGATATGATCGATATAAGCTTTACCTCCATGGATAACAAATATGGTAGTTCGGAACTGAGCTCATCCGACTGACTACCGTTCGATTTTGTGATTGATAGACTAAACGTGCCGATGCCAGCTGTTATTTTGGTTTAGAGGAGATGCAACTACCATTCCGTGACCTCAGTTTCATAGTCAAATCCTCGCTCAAAGGACGTGCACAGGGGCGGATCCGCGGAACTATCGTTTGAGAGCTGTAACTGTTGCCAGCTAAAGGTGACCGTTTTTCCTGATTGAGTGAATGAATCGTCAGCTGTATGCCGTAACGGCGCCTCGCTGCCTCGCGACCACCACCGGTCGCGCTTGAGCTGATATCGCGAGGACGCCCCCCCCTACGTACATTCGAACCGATGACCTTATGATTGCAAGTCAGGCGTGCAGACCACTCGACCACCGGCTGATTGACTTACCCGTAAGAGTACTGCGTCTTATTTTTCTGATCTGATGCCATTCTATCTGCCGCCGTTTGCAGTAAAAGCTTATTTCACGTCTATTGCACATATGAGTTGTGGAAACCTTGAATAAACCCATGCTACTGCTTCTTCCAACGTATCCTGGTTTCTTATTACGCTGCATTGGATAGCAACAAACTGCGCTTAATCTCAATGTGTTCACATCTCATCAATTCTCGATGTAGAATTATTTTGCGTCATTTTACTTCATCTTTCGATGCATTTTCTACACGGATCATCCGTGTTGTTTGTATCTATCGTGGAACATCGAATTCACTATCGATGCAAACTTACTCAGTATCAAGTTTGATACCATCTTCGAGTCAATAAATGCCTAAACCGACCATTGCCAAATAGCCAAACTTAATGATTCTGTCTATAGTCGTTAACACCAAATGTCCTCAGTGAACGTGGACTAACTTGCAGATAGAAATTGGGTGTTGCCCACCAGAAAACACTGCACAACCACGACGCGTTTCGATGTAATTTTCATCTCATCAGGTGGAGACAGCAGGATTTGAACCCACGACCATTGGAATAGCAGCCCACACCACTACCCGTTTGGCTACCGGGTCACGGTGGGCAACCCTATTTGTCACAACGGTAATGACTAATTGGACAAATAGGGTTGCCCACCGTGACCCGGTAGCCAAAGGGGTAGTGGTGTGGGCTGCTATTCCAATGGTCGTGGGTTCAAATCCTGCCGTCTCCACCTGATGAGATGAAAATTACATCGAAACGCGTCGTGGTTGTGCAGTGTTTTCTGGTGGGCAACACCCCATTTCTATCTGCTTTGAGTACGGTCCCAGTGATCGCCGTGACTAAGGCTCACTTCATTGTGAACCACAGTCCACTATACTGAGATTGCGCGTAGCAATCCAATCACACAACGTGTAAGTCCAAACTTGACCCTCCAATTAGTGGACTAACTTGGTTCGATTTTAGTAACCTTAGGTAAGGTGTACCAATTTCAACCACACTTTGAGCGACAGAAGCAGTGACTTACGCAGACGGTGCAAACACTGTCTACTGTTTTCTGCAATCACATCGGCTTCATGCTCAGTTAAACAACATGGTCATCGATATGGCGGATACTAAACATCATATTCCGACGAATTAGCGCGCGGCCGCCACTCAAATTTACTTCCGTCTCTGAAAATTACACCAGCCGGCCAAATCGCATTGAGTCGGTATTGCTGGGACCGTGCTTCCAAGTTGCAGTCGCGCATCTCGTGACATGAGTCACCCCATTTTCAACCAACTTTGTCACGATATTCATCTTATAGTCTGGGATGTTATAGCTGCGGTATGCAGATGCATGTCTACGTTACTTTACCGCCAAAGCCAATTAAGGCAGCGTTGATATACTCCGCATTTACTCCGGGTTTCATTGCGTTTCGACGACCAGTGATTTTCGTGGTTGGATGCTACCACATTACGTAGCCCACAACAGTCCCCCTGTATTTCGTTTGGTAGCTAAAGTATGAGCTTCCGATCACCGATTCTTTGTGCACACACTTTTCTCATAACTGTTAGCATTTAGGGCGTGTTTCCAACACTTGGAGGCTTTATGTTGTACCCGATGTGACCCAACCATCAGCACGATCTTACGGAGCTTGGCCATGCACGATACACTCATTTGCGTCTTCCCTTTGGTTATGTACAAATGAATGACATTTTAGGATCACGTGGTTGATGACCACTTTTGTGATCTGGGATGCTTTGTTGCATTTACGACGTGAAACTGAACTTCCTGAATTATATCTACTCGAAAGGTAAACTCTCGTTTAGCTTCTCCTCAGGCACCATTCTTGGCACAAATTCAAAGCGTGGACGATACGAACTAAGTGCTGTCCGTGTACAACGTCGGCCTCGCTTCCAACATAGAGTTCTGATGATCTGGATGCACCATGAACTACCGACTACGCTTCCTCTTGTACTAGTCAGTTTGATGGTATTTATCGTGACTATTAATTCATGGCTGTTTCCTATGCTCACCTACTCATTTCCGATGCGCTTACACTTCCATACAAGAAGCGAGACATGTTCATGCGTTACTGAGCAAGACCTTTACGTGATACAGCGTACTTCTGACCCACGGAATTATGCCAGGTGGTGATTTTACGAATTGCGTCCATCGGCTCAGGCATTCCGCTAGGTTTACGGAACTGATACGGCACTCATCTCTGGTAGTCGGCTCATGCTGTGTACCGCTAGCGTGTGGTGGTATTGCGTTGTGTTCATACTTTTCAGTCAACGCATTTGGTCAAAGGCCTTAACCGTCCGTCTTACTGGATTTGTTGGGTCGAGCGGTTATCTCGGGTCACTGATTGCCATGATCATACGATGTGGTGATGTCGGAGAAACAATAGAAGTATTAGGGTTCCTTTGCTGTGACTGCGTATAATTTTTGTCTCATTTTTGTTTTGTTGTTTATTCGCATTTTACTACTAAATATCTTTTGCCTTTCCTGACTAACCAAAATGCATTGCTCAGTTTCAACTCTTTGGACACTGATTAGCAAAGATCTTTATCAATCCCATTTTTGAGACTTACCGGGCGATGTGCTTCGATTTGTTTTACTTGTCCGATACGCTGTGACATTTCGTAAATCACCGCCACAGCAATTGCACAATATTCGGGAATCGCAGGCAGAAAGTATCCGGTCACAGTGGGATTGACATGATGAACGGTCGGAGTACCATGCTCAGTGTGGTGATCGCTAGGCATAGCTCGTGAGATTTTCTCAATCGCTGACTCCACCCAAATGCACAAATTCATTGTGAGCAGATGTAGTAGAATGAAACTGAACAAGTTTACGTTCGTCAGCAAGACTAGCTGCAAGAGAAACAGTAGTCCGTTTGTAGACGATTGTTTTTACACTTTACGAGACTGACACACATACGTGTTTGGCATATTTGCAGTGAGCGGTACATGTAGCGCACAAGAGGTGAATGGATGCGAAGCATTTAGTCTGTGGTACCTTATTGTTTGTTGCTTTAACTTTAGTGCAGTATCGTTTTGGCGACTAAGCGCTGTTTCTTCCATCAACACACTGTTTACTATTGATTAGGTGAGTTCCAGCTTATCTAATTCAACGCGATTGAATGGAACATATGTGTTGCTCCGCTTCGTCGCCATCTCTTTGGTTGTTCCTCTCCACCAAGGATATATCCTCTGTTGTTACTTGTCTTTGCTGCTGGTAGTTTGATTTAGTCTGACACTACAGAGTCACCTGTCTCACACTTCTTGCAGCGTGGCCTACATGCTGTTGCATCTCTGATTAATGTTTGTTGCATGTTGACTGCAAACCATTTGTCATTCTTGTCCAACCCTAGCCCACCTTGACCCTGTTTCCCCCACCCCTTTCTAACAGCTTTTGGCCTAAGATGCTGATCAGACCGACTTGATGCTGTCGTGACGGCTCAACCTGAACCAATCCCATGCCCGTTTTGATCACTTTGTCTGAAGACCGTAAACTGATGCTACCACAATCTGCATGTTGGCCATGAGTCACCAGCCCTCAGTTACTGCAGACTCGCATATTTACAAAACTAGTGAACCTCAAATGATATTCATCATTCCAATTATCTCCAGCACTAATGAACAACTAACCATTCTGTTTCCTAGACTGCGTCGTAAAATATGAGGCTTTATTGCGTTTATGCTACAGTCGGTCTGGAAATGGCCGCGATCACTAGGACGATACAATCCCCGTTCTACGTATGTGTACCTCCTTGTGCTGTGTAAACCTACTTAATGGTCGGCGTTCGGCGGTGTCTATGCAACAATGGAACCGTGGCTAAACAAATGTTAGATGTTAATCTCTCTAAACCGCACTCCACCACGAATATCGTCCTCACTGGAACTGTTCAGGGGTACAACTGATCAGAGCTGGGATACATGTGACGGCTTCATAACATGTCCACTGACCTCCTCTTGTACCAATCGTCACACGTTGCCGAGTCGATTAATTGTTTGGAGTACCTGCTGTGTGTTTCGATTGCAATTTGCATTGTTAGAGGAACCGATAGGCAGCACTTGTTCACGACATCCACTGTACCAACTATCAGTTTAGCTGAGGTTTGCCTTGATGTAGCATTTAATTCGATAGTTTCTGTCACAATTCAAGCACACAACGAGTACTTAGCGACCTAACAATGGAACGCTCAGTGCTATGCAACCTGTGACCACTTTATTGGCCCACACATAGGGTTTACGGTTTAGGTTTAGTTTGCCCGTTGGACTGTCACGCCGTTCGTATTGAGCTCCTTGAACAGTTGAGCTGCATATGGCATTCTCGGATTCATATTCTCAATATTCTGCCACCTGCCCCTTGATTCAACCCCCGGAACCAGTGCCTCTTTGGATAGTTGCTAATATTCGACTGCTACTGAGATCCCGTCTCTGGCCTATGTTGGTCAGCTTTTAGATACCATCATGCATGTAGCGCTTCAGATGCGACAAAGCAGCTATGCAAGAAATCCACTTCCGTACGCTAAGCGTTGGTAAGGATATCATTGCACAAAACGCGACCAAAATCTTAACAGCACAATCAGATATCTCTGGCTTACGATATGTCCGCAGCTCATTATGACTTTACCGTTGCATTGTGTCTCGTCGTACTGCCCGTACTTCATTTTGCACTTGTGGATAAGGTTGTGCAGGTCGCACTACGAAACGCGTTGGGTACTGGATTCCACACGCTTCATTGCATTTTGTGCTTTCGTTTGCGACAATGCACTCCATCACTAGATCCCGCTCCTTTCGCACGGAACGCTTGTCTCAAGTTGCTCGGTTATCAGGTAGCTGCTATCGTATTGGTAATACCTAACACAGCTACTTGCTGCGTGTCTTGCATTGGTCATGGTCGCATAACTTCGAACGTGTGGGTGGACCTTTTCATCTGTAAATTTAATTTGATTTTTGCCGCTTGTGGTCACCCCCACAATTACCCCACTCAACATCACAAGCGCTCAGATTTTCCCACCAGCGACTGCAAGCTGATGCGCTGCTTTTTAGAGTAAGTACATTGTCTGTTGTGTGTACGTTCCATCTAACAGCAGATAAGTTTCATGAATACCTTCCTTGACACTGTGCACCACGGTAGTGCTGTCAGATGTACATGTCTCGCGCCACACCCATCCACTTACAGCATTAATTCTTCACAGCCTGATTTCTCCCTAAAATTTGTACTTTCTTTGCGTATACCGTGAACTTTATTCACTTAAGTTACCTTGATAATGTCAGTAATCAAAATAGGTTATTGTTAGTGTGTGACTCGTCTTTTAATCCATCTCATTCTAAACACCTTCGCTCTAATCAATCGGGTTAAGAAGTGTGTATCCCGAAACAAAGAACAGCTCCTAATGACTTTTTCATCGGTTATCCACTACTGGCAGTGACATTTGGTTGCTTTATGACCTCCCTAATATGCTTGTGGGAAACTCAATAATGTCCACCAATCCAGTTATGTTCAATCGTCTCCCAGAGTTCGTGCATTTCTCAGCCAGATAAAATTGGTTGGTATTAATCCATGTCGCCTCTGTTAATTTAATGTCTTAACTTCTTGAGGTGCGCTTCATCGTTTTACTTGACCTTGGTCTGCATTCCGCGGATGGAAGTCGCTGAAATCACCACTAACTCGAGAAATCGATGCACTCTCCAGTGGTTCCTCTAGACACGAAATGCATGAGTGATGCATTCTCTCTCTCACTCTCTCAAGAACTGGTTTGAAATCCATTAATCCCACCTAGAACTAGCAGCGAATTTCCTTCGCACGTGTTGCTTGATGCCGAAACTTCATCCAATTCCTCCATAGGTCTCGCATGGATAGTTGCTGCCATGGACCATTTACTTGGACCATCATTACATGTGATCATGCCTGGTTTGGTGTGCCTCGACAAATTCGCGAATAAACTATTTATTTATTTTTTTTCTACACATTTCTATTAGAATGATGCATGCATTCTGGTGAAAACATCAACCAATGCACAATGAATTTATACGGGTTAAGAAGTGTTGCTTTACAAGGCCCATTGGATACTTGGTGGGGATATTGAAATAACAACAATAACAATAATTATGGTAAAAGTTAGTACCTCAAATATGAAAAAAAGGAATTATCGCTTGCATCGCTGTAGTCCTGCGATCCTCTTAGATTCACAGCACCCACAGTTAACAACAAATAATTCCATGGTAAACTCCAGGTGTAGGATGGAGACGTAGTGTTAAGTAACAAAGTGTAGGTGGATGAGTGCACCGTCCAACCGTCATTTAAATACTGTTAGTGTCGGTGCAGAGACGACCGATTCTGGGAGAGCACTCCACGGGTGACAGACACGAAGGGAAAAGAAATTTCTGCGGCAATCCAGACGGCTGTACTATACAGGGAGTTTCAATGAGTGGTCCCTCAGTGTTGTATTGCTGCTGGGTCGCAGTAAAGGGCGACCCACATGATGTTGATCTCACAGAATGAAGTATGCCATAATCAGGTCGCGTCATCATTCCAATTATCTCCAGCACTAATGAACAACTAACCATTCTGTTTCCTAGACTGCGTCGTAAAATATGAGGCTTTATTGCGTTTATGCTACAGTCGGTCTGGAAATGGCCGCGATCACTAGGACGATACAATCCCCGTTCTACGTATGTGTACCTCCTTGTGCTGTGTAAACCTACTTAATGGTCGGCGTTCGGCGGTGTCTATGCAACAATGGAACCGTGGCTAAACAAATGTTAGATGTTAATCTCTCTAAACCGCACTCCACCACGAATATCGTCCTCACTGGAACTGTTCAGGGGTACAACTGATCAGAGCTGGGATACATGTGACGGCTTCATAACATGTCCACTGACCTCCTCTTGTACCAATCGTCACACGTTGCCGAGTCGATTAATTGTTTGGAGTACCTGCTGTGTGTTTCGATTGCAATTTGCATTGTTAGAGGAACCGATAGGCAGCACTTGTTCACGACATCCACTGTACCAACTATCAGTTTAGCTGAGGTTTGCCTTGATGTAGCATTTAATTCGATAGTTTCTGTCACAATTCAAGCACACAACGAGTACTTAGCGACCTAACAATGGAACGCTCAGTGCTATGCAACCTGTGACCACTTTATTGGCCCACACATAGGGTTTACGGTTTAGGTTTAGTTTGCCCGTTGGACTGTCACGCCGTTCGTATTGAGCTCCTTGAACAGTTGAGCTGCATATGGCATTCTCGGATTCATATTCTCAATATTCTGCCACCTGCCCCTTGATTCAACCCCCGGAACCAGTGCCTCTTTGGATAGTTGCTAATATTCGACTGCTACTGAGATCCCGTCTCTGGCCTATGTTGGTCAGCTTTTAGATACCATCATGCATGTAGCGCTTCAGATGCGACAAAGCAGCTATGCAAGAAATCCACTTCCGTACGCTAAGCGTTGGTAAGGATATCATTGCACAAAACGCGACCAAAATCTTAACAGCACAATCAGATATCTCTGGCTTACGATATGTCCGCAGCTCATTATGACTTTACCGTTGCACTGTGTCTCGTCGTACTGCCCGTACTTCATTTTGCACTTGTGGATAAGGTTGTGCAGGTCGCACTACGAAACGCGTTGGGTACTGGATTCCACACGCTTCATTGCATTTTGTGCTTTCGTTTGCGACAATGCACTCCATCACTAGATCCCGCTCCTTTCGCACGGAACGCTTGTCTCAAGTTGCTCGGTTATCAGGTAGCTGCTATCGTATTGGTAATACCTAACACAGCTACTTGCTGCGTGTCTTGCATTGGTCATGGTCGCATAACTTCGAACGTGTGGGTGGACCTTTTCATCTGTAAA